CTGCGGTATTAGATACCAATCACATCGCATGATACCCACATCGAACCTCTCTACCGTCAATTGTTTTCATTATATATGAAAATGTTATTTTTCCTCCATAGACGCTTTGGCGCACTGATGCTTGCTGAGAGTCTGTCTGACCCTGCAATGGAGACAAATTCTTGCTCGCAACATATTTTTCGGGCTTCACGAAACGGTCATCTCCTTTACTCCAGCGTGGGAAACAAGACGCCTTTTTCATCGGATCTGTCACGCAAACTGGAATTCGGATGTAGCCTAGCAAGGATACATTGTCAGGACAAACGCTAGAATATAGAATCACATTACAATTCATATTGGATGGCTCGTGCTATATATGAGTGCATACGTCTCACCCGTTCAACGGTATTTTACATGCTTTTCAAACAGCGCTATCGCTGTGACGGAAGTGCACAATCTCTACCTGTGATGACTGGCACGGTGACGACTCCATTTGACAATAGAAACAACCACCGCTTCGTATCGCACAGCCATCACTAGGATCCAATTCGGTGCCCATCACAAGGACACAGGTACAAGCCGCGCTTGAACGCGGCAAGCACGGCTGCGAGTGCAACGGCCCACCGTCGTGCAAGTCGTAATCGTACGTGATCACGCACAGGTAGCGATCGCTGGCGCGTAGCGCAATACAGAGGCGCTTCTTGCAAGCACGCACCGAGCCCCATCCATTCTGCCAAGCACACGGATGGCAGCTTGCCGTCGTAAGTATTACGAAGTCTTGCGATATGTTGTGGCGAGTTTCGGACCACGTCGCCGTCATGCGATCATGCTACCGACCGACTCGACCGGGCGCGCATCATCCAGCAGGGTCCGTAATTTATAGACCCTTGCATTCAGGCACCTTTCCATACATCGGGCAATGCATTGTCGTCTTACCCTCGGATACGACGACCGAGAGGCTGCGTTCTAAAAGCCTTATCTAACCTAAAGCAAGCGCTTACGGCGCGGCAGGCAACTACATGCAAAGGATTCCGTGGTGTGCCATCGAGAGTTTTCTTTTTACCCAATCATATCGTGACTGGCCGATGGTCGTATCCAATCACATTGCTGCAACTCCGATCTGCACCAAGGTGGCCGCAAGAGCCCGTGCCCCGAGTGCACGGCAACGCGTTGATGAGGGATAGCCCAAGGAACCTGTAGGTGTAGGCGGATACAGTTTGGGTAGCCTCCAGCTCCAAGCACGCCACATAACTTGCGGCTCCATTTTTCTGCAAAGCCAAGGCATTGATGATTACAGAACTCTTGAGGTTGCTCGTCTCCGCTGCGTATCCAGCCCCCAGCTCTGTCGACGGCTCGACCAAAAGTAGCGACCCAGTGTACGAACCAGTTTTTCGTAGAGTCGGAGGCATTTGTACTGCGGGGTGTTAACTTAATCATGAGGATGACGACACGATCCCTCTAAATCGCTATGTGGATCGAGGGTGGAGATGCAAAGTCAACGCCAGTGACGCCGCTCTGCGGGTTGGCTGCATCAAACGACGCGCTCTTCTCGACGAGGCCGCGCACGAGCAGCTCGGTCACACTCCGGTTGGGTTGCCGATACATGTTGACGCAGCCGCGCATGAGCGGCTGGAGGAGTTGAGGCACACCGCGCGCAGCAAAAGGGCACATGGGCGGCGTGTACACGTTGGGCGTGCACGTGACGATGCTCTTGACCGACACGCCGCGCTGGCGCCGGCTGGGCTCCATGACAAGCCAGCCGACTTCGTTGTGGGCGTACTTGGGCACGTCACCGTACTCGAGCGGGTACCGCTGGTCCTCCAAGACGCTTCGGAAGACGAAGACGACGCGCGCCGGCTCCACAAAACGCTGGACGGCAATGTGGCCGTGCAGACCGTGGGACGGGCCCGTGGGCACTTTGGCGTCGCCCGAGAGGTACAAGATGCCGTCGTTTTCGACGAGCGACGAGTCGATGGGCTGGAGTCGTTGCCACTGCGTGCCGCTCATGATGGTCGCGCGCCCCGCGTCGGTCGTGAGCAGCTCGGTGCACACTTTGGCGAGGCTCGCGATCGATTCGTGCGGAAAATAGACATGCGTCAACTTGTCGATGGCGGCCACGGACCCGTCCGTGTGGCGGCGCACCTGCGTGCTCTCGACTTCTGAGACCGCGTCACAGAGCCCATGTCGAATCAGGTGCGAGTTGGTATGGTCGTGGTCTTCGGCGAGCATCTTCTGCAAACCATCCTTCCAGCGGGCGCTGTCGGACGGGAGGCGATGGCACTTCCATTCTTCGAGCTGAAACTAGTAGCGTGATATGAGCGTTCGCATCCTCGTCTTGTAGATGCGACGACAGTACAAACCTCTTGGGCTTGGACCATGGCCTTTTGGAGCGCGTGGGCCATGCGCGTGTGCTCCGAGAGTGCTTCCTTGAGTCGTTTGTTCTCATGCAGTACGATCTGCAGCTCGTTCGCCTGGGCCACCGCCACGTCGCGCCATGGCATCTTGCGCTTGCGTGGGTTGCGCTGGAGGAGCGCAAGCTGCGCGGTCAAGGCGTTCGCCTCGGCCACGAGTGCGCGCTCGTCGCCGCTGCTCTCGCTGCTGCTGCTGGCTGTGTAGGACGTCTCGACCATGAGTTGGTTTCTTCTTTGGGCCAGCTGCGTTGTAGCAGCAGCCAACGTTGAGGACCCATTTACGACGTCGTAAACACTAGTCATGTCTGTGCAGGAATTGCAGTCTGCATTTTTATTGCTTCTCGTACGAATTAGACCCTAATTCGTAGATCTGAAGGGACTGTTTTTTAAACCCGCGAATCACAGCCGCCGAAGGTTGATGGATACTAAAACCAAGTTCTTTTGAATGATCACGTCACGGTCGTTGATGATGGAAATGGGTACGCTATCGTAACCGGAGCGCAATCTTTTAAAGTCCATACAAACGCACTGTTTAACGGTGCGTATTTTAATACCAGCGCTGTATGCGGCACAAGTTCGCGCACCTCAACACGGATGTCACATCCTCTTGATGGCACCCGACCGACCATCGCAGCCGCCGACGCGCGTGCGTCTCTGGCGCCGTCGCCCCGGCGTCATCTCGAGGCGAATATGACAACTAGTAGCTACGGCGGGAGGATTCGGAGGCTGTTAAAATTCGAGTCTGCGTCGTTCTGCTGACGTCGTGGGCGGGTATCGCGTAATCGGTTTCCGCAGCTTCAACAACGCCCGACCTGTCTGCGCGGCTTCGAGGCCTTGCGCATTGCGTCATCGCTGACCACGTCTGTGTCGCATTGCGTGCTGCTACGCCGCCGGCCATCAGCAGCGACACGGCGACCTTCGATCTTCGCCGACCGTGATCGGTTCCGATTACACTACCGGTTCTGTGGCCCAACGACAAGAGTAGCCCTTGATGTAATCTGGCACTGCGCATCTGCTGCGGGAGACTTGCTCTGCGTGGGCGGAAGAGACTGCCAAAAGCTACTGCCTAAAAGTAGTACATGGGCGAACGTGTGCTCATCACACCACTGGAGGGCTGGATTGAACAAGGCTACAGAATAAGTGGCTACTTGCGACGCGACGCGAGGGCGACGCCCGCGCCAAAGGCCGCCACGACGAGGCCAATCGTCCAGAGCTGGCACTTGACCGGGACGGGGCACTTGCGACCGCCACCGCAGCACGGCTACGCAGAACGATTTTGTGAGCGCACTCATTGGCAACGTATATCGTACCGAAAAGTGCCAGTGACCCGCCTTGTTCATCGGCAGCGTCGCCTTGAGCGCCGACTTGATGACGCCCGCGGCCTGACCCTTGGTCGGGACCACGTGGCCGCACTCGATGAGCGCGGCTTCGATCGCGTTGATCGTGCGGATCGCATGCTCCATGATGCGCGTGCTCTGGCCCATGTGGCCGATGCGGAAGTACTCCATCTTGATGTCCTTGTGGAGGCCGCCGGCGAGCGAGACGCCGCGCGCCGTGACTTTCGGCAAAAAGTCGGGGCCGGCGACGCCCTTGGGGTACCGCACGCACGTGAGCGTGTTGGCGGCGCAGTCGGACGCTGGCACAAAGCCGCAGCCGAGCGCCTTGATCGCGCCCTTGATCGCAAGCGACATGTTGCGCTGCTCGATGAAGCGCTGCTCGATGCCGCCGTTGGCTAAGAGGATCTCAAAGCCCTTCTGGAGCGCGTAAAAGTGGTTGACGGCCGGCGTCGCAAAGTACGACGGACGGCGCGCCTCGTAGTTCTTCATGATCGGCAGCCAGTGCGCCCAGTCGACGTAATAGGCGCCCTTGGCGTAGCCAATGGCTTCAAACGCCTTGATCGCGCGCGGGCGCAGCATGAGGAGACTCAAGCCCGCGGGCACGCCAATGCACTTTTGCGACCCCGTCAAGACGACATCAATGTCCCACGCCTTCATGCGCAGCTCTTCGCCGCCAAGCGAGCAGACGCCGTCGAGCACGACAATTGCGTTGGGCTGCGCGGCGCGGATCGCCGCCGTGTACTCGGCCGCGCACGAGAGGACACCCGTGGACGTATCCACATGCGTGATCGTGATGACCTTGTACGATGTTCCCGTAAGCGCGGCCTTGAGCTCGTCAATGGACGGACGCGAGCCCACCTACGCATCATGCATGAAGCATGAACGTCGCGACGATCGCATCTACCGGTGCGCGCAAGTGCGTGACCGTGGCGCCATAGCGCTCCAGGCACGTGCCAAACGAGTCGCCAAAGTAGCCTAAAGAAGCATGGGCATGCGTGATGCAATGCAGCGCGCGTACCCGTGTTGATGACAAGGGCGTTGTCGCCGGCTTCGATCAAGTTGGCACCCACCATGTCCCAGCCCAAGGTGCCCGAGCCGGCCACGATGAGCGGCTGGCCGTCGTCGGCCAAGAAGATCTACCTCCAGCATGAGCACGCGTGAGCATCGAGACGTCGACCTACGTGGCGCATCTGCTCGAGGCACTGGCCAAAGACTTCAATAAAGGCCGGGTCGACATGCGAGATGCCTTCGTGGGCAAAGGCTGCGAGCACTTCCGACTCGAAGGCGATCGGGCCGGGGTTCATGAGGAGCATCTTGGGGCTCATCTATCGCTCGCATCCTCAGCAGCCGCATGCACTCGCTTGCTCTACCTTCGCTATCGTTCGTTCGGAATCGCAACTGACCACGGATCTTGACGCAGTTGACACAACATTTCAAAACCTCTGCAAATGAATACACCACATCACTTGCCAAACCTGTGGCGCAGCTACGTTTGCTCACGCCACGTCAGTCGATTTACTGTCCTGCATAGCAGCAGCACTAGGCAAAGAGCTGGCATCGTTGTATCGGTGTATCGGAATGAGCTAGCGAGCGCTTCCAGCCAGAGCGAGCTTGGCGTAGATTTCAGGGATGTCGCTGCCACTTGATGGCTTTCGACGAGGTGCAAGACTGGTATTTACGCAGGAATTTACGGGTCTCTAGCCATAGCGTACGATGGCCAGTATTTTGACACCGATGCGTTGTACCGAGCAATGGCCCACCTCGACACCTTGATGACAAGGGCAAGATCGTGGCTGTTCGAAATATCCTCTATCAATACATATCCTGTTGAAAACAGTGCATCAAATCGGGCCACGTAAACGATAAAAAGATCGCTGACCATGAGCAGCGCGACCTTGGTGACCCTTGACGCCCGGTACGATCGACTCGGATCCTCAACTACCACTAAGATGAAGATCCTTGTGTAGCTCGGCGGAGGCCCTTCCCTTGCTGAGCGCCTTCTCCTTGGAGAAGCTACCGCTGCTCGCGCAGCGCCTCCTCCGCGCTCCTGCCGTACGTTCCTACGCATCGCAAGCGACTCAACAGAACAGCGGCTGCAATAGGCCACAGCTTTCACCAAAGACGAAGAGCACCAGCTCGCTGAGATTGGCGGCATGACGCGTGATCAAGTCGGTGCGTTCTTGGCGCTGTTGCAGTCGCTCTTCCAGGCCGCGGGGCGGCGACGGCTTGCTCCGCCTGCCTTTGCGCAGGAGCTGCAGCGCCTTTCGATTGCAGCTGCAACGAGCGACGTCCTTGCAACCGTCTGGTCCCACGAGCAAGCAGCGTACGAAGCAACGCTAATTGAAACGAGCTCGCACCTTGCCCCGACGCTGCTCGAGGCGCAGTGGCGGCTGCACGTCACCATGGCCGACTCGACATCCAAGGGCATTGCGACGCCGAGCGCGCTCTTCCACATGCAACAGAGCAACGGTGTCGCATGGGACATGGAAATGGACCATACCGAGCTCCATGCGTTCCTCGTCCAGCTCGATGCGATCCAAGCCCAACTGGATGCGCTCGCGGCCGCGCCCTAGCTTCTATTGTCTTCTTATACGAGAAACATATCGTCGTGCGCGCGCAGCTTCTGGCGCGCGTGCTTTCTCTCAAACACTTTGTACTTGTCCGAGACGGTCCCGCCCATGCTCAAGTCTTCGTGCAGCCACGTCGTGATGCGCTCCGCGTCCGTCTTCCACGTCCACTCGATGACGCGCGCCCGGCGCGGCGTGTACTCAAAGCCATATGCCGCGCCTACGTTGTATTGTGGAGTGGAGGCCGCGTGGGGACCTTGGCCTACCGTAGCCGACGCCACCGCCGTAGCACAAGTGCAGTGGCGCGTTGTAAAAACAGTAGTCGTTAAAGTGGTCGTGGCCGACAAAGACGCCCTTGACATCGCCCACTAGACATCGTACATCGATAGGTACCCGCATCGAGCCTCTGAGGTACGTACTCTGCGCGAGGGCATCAAACATGCCGCTGTTGTGGTCGCCATGCGACACCTTCTCGAGCCGCTGGCCCTGGCCGTCGCCGTCCACATACTGCTTGAACTCGTGCAGCGGGTGGTGGAAGAACATGAGCGCGGGCACGTGCTCGTGGTACGTGGCGGCCGAGAGCTCGGTCACAAACTCGAGCTGCGACGGCGTAAAGAGGCCTTTGACCGAGTCGATAAAATACAGGCGCAAAAGCGACGGGATCGACTTGCGAGCATTCCACGGACCGTCTTGCGGCGCCTGCACGCGGAGTGCGTAGTTGCCAACGCCGCCAATACCCTCGGGCCCCATGGCAATGTACCCGAACGGCAGGTCTTCGAGGTGCCCAAACATCACTCGGCGCGACATGGTAGTCTAGACGCAATGCAGTCAGCTGTGGCATCGTAGCATCAGGAGGCACAGTACGCCTTCGTCATGGTTGCCAAAGACCATGGACCATGGAAGGTTGCGCCGGACGACTTCGCTCGTGGCGGCGTGGAGCGCGTCGACGACCTCGGCCGCCGTCTACACTCACGATGGGAACATGCCATTAGGATAGAAGCCGTACGTGGGGCACTTCGACCGACTCGATCAGGTCGCCGCTAAAGACCACAAAGTCGGGCTCGACCGTGTCGAGGAGGTGGCGAATAAACTCGGTCATCCTGCTCTCGGTGCACGGCAAGTGTCGCTCGACGGCCTTGTGCGGCGGGTTGCGGCATGGGTAGTGCTGACGACCTGTGTAGTGCATGTCGGTTAGCTGCAAGATGCGGAAGCGCAGCGTCGGCGCTTGGCCCACGTCGTTGACGACCGTCGCTTGAAGCGCGGGCAGCTCGTCGGCCCTGTAGATGCTGCGCGCAAAGCGGCTAGGCGCCGTGACGGAGCTCGTGAGCGCGAGCAGTGCCAGCGCGCCGAGGAAGATGACCACGAAGGCGCGCTCGCAGCCCAGGGCCCGGCGCCAGAGGAAGACGCGGTGGCGGATCGCCGCCAGCGTCAGGCCACGTCGCATCCGGATCTGTACACCGCATCCGGATTTATGCAGATTATGGCCAATCCGCGCCGGCCAGAATAAAAATGTGCTTAATTTAATGCGATGACCAGTAGCACTTCTGCAAAACGATAGTATTTTATTGGATTGTAATTTAATGCGATCCATTTGGATCTTTTTGAGCTTTCGCAGTCGCCGCCGATGAAGAAGCAGCTCAACAAGCTCTTCGGCGGCCTGCGTAAGCCGACCGACGCCCATGATGGGAAGACTGCGACGTCGCCGCCACCAGCGCCCATGTCCCCGCCGGTCGTCGTCGTCGATGTACATGTCCTCGCGCGATGGCTCGGCGCTCATGCGATGCTAGGCGCGGCTAACCAAGATGACGCCACGCATGAAGGACATTGCGATGGCCTGCAAGCTCATGTAAAGACTCTACTCTGGCTATCCATGCATCCATGTTGCTCATCTAGGATCGCGGCCATGAAGCGTGATGGAACGAGCGCCGACGTCGCCAAGCTGACAACGTCCGTCCACACCGCGACCAAGACGATGCACGAGATGGCCGGTACGACGCCATCCTCGCAACATCGACAGGAAGGGATATGTAGGCGACGGCTGCATCCAACGGTACTTTGCAAGCGACGCAGGCACAGCGTTCTGTGACCAGTCGACCTTTCCCGCGCTCGTCGTCGAGACGCTCGACCGCCTCCGGCTTTTCTTTGTCGTCGAGCATGTAAAGACGCTCGGCGCATTAGAAACCCCGCTGGATCCACAGGTAGATGCTTGCATGGGGATGCTCGGCGCTTGCCTCCTCGCGCTCTGTGGCAACTCACGGGTCATGGAGAGCTACCGCTGCGAGCTGGGAAACCTCCTTCGCCTCGCCGCCGAGATTTACACCCCGTCGTGCTTTGGACTCCGTTCCTATATCTGCAACGCGATTGACGCCGCGACACTCAACGCCGGCGCGGTGTGGTACCTGCACGACTCGCGCGCCATTGAGCGGAGCCTAGCGACCATGCGCCAGCTCACGTACGCGACCGCCGTGACGCCGACGAACGCCGCGACAGCGATCTCGACCATGCACTCGCTCGCGCTCGAGGCCGACGCCCTGCCCCTTGATACGCACTTGGCCGTGAGTCGCGCGCTCGGACTCGTGCAAACATCGGCGCCGGACGCCGTCGAGGAGGTGCGGTCGCCGGAACATACCTTTACGCTCGCCAACCACGACGCGGCCGTGGGACTGAGCGTGCTGATCCGCCTCGTTGTCGCTAGCGCCAAACACGCACTCATCCTCGTCCACGATTTCCACGCGGCGCGCGGCTACGACGTGCTCTGGAGCGTATATCGATCCGCCAACGACAGCGCGGTAGCGCTCTATCGCATGCTCTTGCCCCTCGGCGACGGGCCGGAGAGCGTCCGCAACGAAGCGGCCATCGTCGCCTTGAAAGACCACGTCGTCGAGAAACTCGATGATGAGCAGCGCATTGGCCTCTTTGCGCTTCTGACGTCCGTGTACACGGGCGACGTGGCGACCTTCACACGCCTCGAGCCCCGTCAGCACGTGCTGGCGTCGCTCGTGTCCAAGCTGCCGCAAGTCATGTGGGCGGCCCAGCCAAGCGTCCTACTCGCCGTCGAAGCCGTCGGTGTCGTCGCCGACTTTGGTCTTGTCCGGGACAGCCTCTCGGTGCTATGTGCATTGTGCATGGACGCCTCGACACAGGTCGCTTAGTCTCTCGAAACATCCAGTACCGCGAAACAACACTTATTTGGATGGCGTAGGAGCTCGATACCGTCACCGACCACAGCTTTGCGGTACGCGCGTGCGACACCTTGCGTCGCCTCCTCGATGCCGCACCGACCGAGCATCCACTGCGATCTGCGCTGGTCGAGTTTGGGCTCGTCGATCGCGGGCTTGTCGCCGTGGTTGCCACCACAGCTGACCGCTCGCCCGAAGCACTCGCGCCGGTGCGCCATGTGCTACAAGCATGGGCGGGCCTCGGCGCAGGTCTCTTTATGCGCAACGCAGCGGCGGCAGCGCGCTGGCGAGCGACCGATGCTGCGACGCACCTCGAGAAGCTTCTGCTTGCCCTCGTCCTCGACCGAGAGACTTGCACTGCACTGATATCGATTCCTTGCACGCTGGCTGAGATCGACACGGACGACAATGTCCAGGGGGATGTGGCGCGTGCGTTGGGCTTGTGCCAAACGTACAGCACTGATACGACGCACTTGTCACCTGCCATCACGCTCTTGCGATGTCTTTTGACAGCTCACGTGCGCGTCCAGCGTCTCTTTGTGTGTTGTGTGCGAGGCACCGAAGTACTCCTCGAGCTCCTCTCGAATCTGCCATGCGAAGAAACACACCTCCGCAATGAGCTCCTCAGCATCCTATCGGTGCTCTGGCGCACGACGGACCTCTGCGACTATGCGTCAGCCAACGACTTGTACGCGGTGCTGGCATCCCACCTCGTCCGCTGGATTGACGTTGACGGGGCTGCGCTGTTGGAGCTCGTTTTGGGCCTGGCGTTTGAGATACGTGAGACGGATGTCTGCGTGCACCATGCGGCGGCTGCCTCCGTGCTCTGCAGTCTTCTCACCTCGGTGTCGTCGCCAGCCGAGTGGATCAACGCGTGGTATACGCGCGTGTTGCAACGCTTGCGATCCCCTGAGAAAGCGCAGCTGGTCGCAGCCGGTCTCTTTCGCTGGCTCTTGCCGCTTGTGACCGCGTCGTCTGACTCGGCCCTGTACGTGCCTCTCTTGCGCTGCTTTGCGTACGACGCGATGCCGCTTCCGCAGCTTCGCGACTGCTTGCGGGTCGTGCATGCGTTGCCACCGTCCTTGGGGCTAGGCTTTCTCTACGAGCTCGTCAAAGCGTCGAACGTGCCGCACACGCGGTTTGGACCGAAAGCCCTGACGCACGTTGCGTCCGACAAGGTGTGGCCGACGACGTCGGGCTACTCAATCGCGTGCTGGCTGCAATTCACGCCGCCAACGACCTCCGTCGTCGCAAAGAGCGTCACGACGTCGCTCGCGCTGTGCGAAGGTGTGCTGGACTTCGACGACTGTGGACCGCAATACGCCGTCCTCGTCGGCTCAACGCTGACGTTGTACGCCTCCAAGGACGCGGCCGTCACCGGCGCGAATGATGCAGTGACACTCGACGTTGTCGACGTCGTCACGGACAATTTGGACGACCCGCTTGCGTTTGGGGTCGTGCCCCGGGGTGGCGCCGGTGCGATCCACGCACGGGCCGAGACAGACGCCGACTGGAACATGTGGCTGCGCGCGCTGGCGCAAGTCGCGTCGCCACGCCCGATCGCACCGCTGCTGTCGCTGTACGCGGCCGACCAGCCGCTTTGCTACACCCGCGTCTACTTTGATGGCAGCCTCCGCATCGACGCGGCGTCGTCGACGAAAAAGTCCTCGGTCATCTTCAAGAACGTCGAGATGGGCCTCTTCCTCGGAAGTTGGCACCATATCGTACTCACGCACCGCAAATCCGTCGTCGGTAGCTCGCTTGTGACCTTGTACATTGACGGCGCCGAGGTCACGTCCAAGAAACTCCACTACCCCGCATCGCTCGCGCCCACGGCGCTGCGGGTGACGTTGGGCCACGACCCGCAGTGTCCCAGTGCAACGTCCGGCCACGACCTCTGTTTGGGTCCCGTGTGGCTGCTTGCCGACGTCTTGCCGCCGATCGGCGCGACGGTCATGTTTCTTCAAGGCCCGAGCTTTGGCCACCGCTTCACGGGCAACACAACGGCGTACGGAGCGTTGTACGATTGGACCGAGGCGGTGATGTGCCACTTGCTGCACCGTCTCTCGGGGCGCCGCGTGGACGTGAGTCGGGCTGCCAAGCGCCTCGGACTGCTCAAATGCCTCGCCGCGACCCAGCGCGAGTGGGCACTGCCAGCCCACGACAAGGTGGGCGACGACGACGAGGTCGCACCCATCGAGCTCGGGTTCCGTGCGTTCCTAGAGGCCAACTGCAAGCTCTCGACGCTCGGGCGCGAGCTACTCCACGTTGTGTCGAGCTTCAAGTGGCCCGACGACCTCGTGCTGTACGCGTCGCCGAGTATTGACGTCTTGCCAGAGAGCGTGCTGCCCTTGGACCTGCCACGGCGCCTGCCGAGCCTCGGTGGCCTTCACTCGGTGCTCCTTCCGTGGCTTACCCGAATCACAACCACTGACGAGATGGAGATGGCCCTGCGCGTTCTTGTGCGCTGCCTCAAGGCATCGGCGTCGGTGCTCGCCGCCTTTCTGGAGACGCACGGCCACTATTGGCTCGCGGCCTTTGCGCAGGCGCACAGCGCTCTTCTCGACGACCGCATCCTCCAGACGCTGTGCAAGACCGCGATCTCTGGGTCGCTCAAGCTCGATGCTGCGTGCATGGACGCTGCGTTTACGGCGCGGGCCGACAAGTTTCCGTTCCCGGTAATTGTCAACAGCCACGCGATGGCCCAATTGGTACTGAATCCGGTCGTGCGGGGATCGCTCTCGAGTCCGCTCCAGCACCTCTTGCTCCGTTTGGTCTCGTATCTCTTGCACCCGGCCAACCCCAACGCGCTCTTTAACGCAAGACAACTCCGCCACAGCAGCTTTGTGCACTGGCTTCTCGGGTATCTCGGCGCACTCACGCGCACACCGCAGAGCGTCGAGGCGCCGTCGCTGGTCGAAGCCGTTCTGAGTCTCTTCCGCGCCTTCTTGGTCATGGAAGCGCACATTGACGATGTGATCGCCGTGTCGGATCGACTGCTCATGACGCTCGCCGATCCAAACGGCGGCGCGCTGCGGCGCTGTCTCTTGCGACATATGCTGACCGAGCTCGATGGACCGGGTTCTGTCCTTGGGCGGACACTCGTCGACGCGGTTATGTTTCGCCTCGCATCCGACAAAAAGACGAAAGCCAGTGCCCTTCCGCAATGGTACCTGGTCGGCGCACCCGACAAGCCCATTGTCTTTTCACCCGACGGGCTCGAAGTGGTGCTGATGGAGATTCTGCTTTTGGCGCCGTCGACGCCCAGCGGTATGTCGCCGGACGCACTTTTGGCCGAGCGCGTGCTCATGACGCTCGCCCAAGCGCAACCAGCATTCGGCGCGCACTTGCTCGTGAATACGCACCTCGCTCGGCGCTTGCGGCAAGGTATTTCTCTCCACCGCGAGCACGCATCCGCACTCGTTCCGCTGCTAGCCTTTGTCGCTCTCATTCCGCTACCCCACGTGCACTGCGACGCGGCGAGTATGCGCGACGCGTTTCCAGAGCCATCGCGCTACACGCCTGTGGCCATGGACCGTGTGTGCGTGGACGCCGTCTGGGACCTCGTCGGGTGTCTCTGGTCGAAAAATCAGTCGGACGACGCGTCCGAGCTCACGACGCTCGAGAGTCTGTCGTGGCTCACGGCGCGTCTCGGAGCCGACTCGCTCGTCTTCCAAGCGCTGTGTCGGTCAAGCAGCCTCTTTCTCTCGGTCGTCATGGACTGCATCAAGCGCCTTACGGACGTGCTTTTGCCTGCCGAGACCATTTCGCACATGGCGGCCGTTTGCCTCGAGACCTTTTTATGCAAAGCGCTCCTCGAGCGCGATGACTGGGGCGATCACATGCTCTTTACGCTTTGGCGATGGCGCGACTTGGAGACGGGGCTGGCCGACTGGCTAAGCATGCTACTGCGCATTGTGGAGCGCACGGAAATGCTCACGGCGCACTGTTCGATTGTCGCCATGAAGAACCTCTGCGGCTTGTGTTTGGGCTTGCTGCGAGAGAGCGTGCTACCCTTGGATCTGCCACGTACGCCTGCCGAGCCGTGCGCCTCTGTGTAACGATATGCGTAGCTACGTGACCAAACCGGTCGCGTGGGCACCGGCTTTGACGCTAAGCGTCACAACGTTCCTCCTGCAAGCCCTCGAGCACTGCAACGCGCCAGAGAAAACGCCGTAGCTCTGCGTCCGATATGTGCATGTTTGTGCTATTGTCCTGGTGTTGATAGGATCTTGGGCGCTGAAGTCCAGCAGTACTTTTACTCGCTCCTCGTCTTTGCGACGCAAGGGTTTGTCCTTCAAGGCATCTACACGGCGCACGACTTTGGCGACGACCATTGTCGACTCCTCGAGCACCTCGTGGCCCACAAGGAGCTCTTGCTGCAGCAAACCAAAGGGTCGTGCGTTCTCGTGTACGGAGCTGCGCCGAGCGCGAATGACGCGGTTTCGAGCGGATTTCGACTGCACATGCGGCAGCTAAGCATGCACGGGCACCAAAAGGAGCTGGTCGTTGGCCCCGAGACGGACAAGTCGTTTGCCATGTGCCTTGCCACGGCCCTCTTTCGGTGCGTCCTGTCTTGTGGAACACAAGTGGTTGTATGCTGCGGCCACTAGAATGCTGCTCGATGACAAGGAGGCTGTCACGTGGGTCGCTGTCCAGCTGTGGCAATTCCTGATCACGCAGCGGCCGATGCTGGTGCAAGACTTGCTGGTCGTCGAGCCCAAGACGACGCTCCTTCCGTCCATGTCAACGTCAAGCGCCAAAAAGGAGGGTATCAACTTGTATGTCCGGGGGATGGACCAATTGCTGGCGATTGACGCACCAACGTCACCTGCGTGGCCCGCCTTTGCGGCATGGGTCACGGCGCAGTACCCGATCCTCAACGACGTGCTTCCGGCGCGGACCGACCCCATGTTTGACCTCTTTGTTGACGTGCTTGAAAACGTCTTGGCCGTGCGCAAGAGCTCGGCGACCAAAGTCGAGGTCGCAATTCACATTCCGATCGACCCGACGCTGCCATCGCCGTCGCCTTCGGTTGGCGCTGCAGTGCCAGAACCGAGCTTGATGGCCGCGTCGCGACTGCTCGTCGCGACAAACGATCAGCAGCTGCACCAAGTCGAAGAAAGCATGCGCGAAGCGGCGACGCAGTGGCAGCACATTGCGCCACGGTCCCTCTGGGCAAACGTCGACGGAAGCGCGTCATCGCTCGTCGTGTCGTCGTCGTCCGTGTACCAAGCGTCGTGGATGGGTCCCATGACGCTCGATGGCACTGAAGGCCCTTGTCGCATGCGCCGCCGACTCAAGCCACGCAAGAATGCGCCGATGGACGATACCAACGAACTCAGTCTTAAGCAGGCGGTCGTTCGGACTCACCCGAGCCTCGAGTTTCACGACATGGTCGAAGTCTACCGGCAGCTCCAGTACAAGTCGTCGGAGAGTCCTTGTCATCGTGTGTCGCTCAAGGAGGTCTCTTGCAAATACCAGCAGACGCGCGACCATCTTCACGGTACACTCACATCATCATGCACAGCGCTGCATGCTGGCGTTGTAGAGTTGGGTGTCGACGCCACGCCTCGTATGGTCGCCGAGGCCATCGCCCAGCGCTTCTTCACGCCCGAAGCAGCGCTCGGTATCTCGATGGCCGTACTTGAGGACGTTCAAAGCATCTTGAGCGCCAATGATGAGACGAGTAGTCTACCGAGCACACTGTTTGACATGGCTGACTCGGAGGCGATGCAAACATCCGTTTTGCGCAAGCCCAGCACCAATGACATCCATGACGAAGACGAGCGTGACGACGAGAGGGACGAAAAGCCCGCGCCGGACGTCACGTCGGACGGCTCGGACGACGAAGACGAATGCGACCGACCATCGACCGCGTCCGTCCTGAGCGTCGACTTGGACGATGGCAGCGTGTCGTCGCCGAGGGCTTTGGCGCCCGAGACGCTGGCCGTCGACCGCAACATGTACGGAAGTATTCTGCGCTACTTGCACCGGCACGACCAAGTGCCGCTGCGCTGCTGCAACGCCGGGTACCTTTGCGGCATGGGCAAAGCCGTACGTCTTGCATACTCTCTCTTTGGCGCTCGATCGATGGTGTCGATGGATGCATGTTTAGTTGGGCGTCCTCGTCTTTTGTCGCGAAGCGCTCTACTTTATCGAGGGTTACTCGGCCGTCGACGGGTCCGAGCCCGTCTCGAAGCGCAAGACGCATCTCCAAGTACTCGTGGACCTCACCGACGTGCTCAAAGCCAAGGCGAATGCGCTGCGTATCGTCTGCGACAAGGCCAAAGCGTCCAATGCAACGCTGCGCAAGTGGCGTCTCCCCTACGGTACCATTCCCACGCATACCTCGCACTTGCACAACGCATGTCGTACTAGGTGAGATCAAGCAATTTTACCGCATGAAATACCAACTGCGCCCGATTGGGCTCGAGTTTGTCGACACGAACGGCGGGACGTTTTTTTGCACGTTTGACGCCCGCAGTGACCGCGACGACGTCTTCCACGCGCTCTTTGGCATGCCGATCCACAACAGCATTTACTGGGCGCACGTGCTGCGCCAAGGCCCACTCGGATCGATGAAGCGACTGCGCCGAAGCTTGACCAAGCAGTGGCTCCGCGGCGCCATGTCCAATTTCGAGTACCTCATCGAGCTCAATGCCATGGCCGGTCGAAGCTTCAACGACCTGACGCAGTACCCGGTACCGTCGAGCAAACTCTCGTCGAATGACGCGGATGGAATGCTGGCGATGGTAGGTGTTTCCGTGGGTGCTTGCCGACTATACCTCCGACGTGCTTGACCTCACGGCACCGAGCACGTACCGCGACCTCACCAAACCCATGGGCGCCCTTGGGCCAACGCGTGCGGCGCAGTTCTACGAGCGCTACCAAGCCATGTCGGTTGAAGGTTTCGACGCACCCGCGTTCCACTATGGCACGCACTACTCGTGCTCGGCGTACGTCACATACTACCTTTTGCGCCTCGAGCCGTTTAGTGCCATGGCCAAAGAGCTCCAAGTACCACCGCTTCTAAAGTATCGAGTTTTCAATCCCGCATGCTGTAGGGTGGCGACTTTGACAAGGCCGACCGGCTCTTTCGCAACATTGGTGCGTCGTGGGCGTCGGCGTCGCGTGAAAACCTGCAGGTATAAAGCGACCGTGTGGCGTCGCACTCGAGTCGTCGGGTAGGATGTGCGCGAGCTCATTCCCGAGTTCTTTTTTTGCCTGAATTTCTCGTCAACGCCAACCACTATGCGCTCGGCACGACGCAGAGCGGCACGGTCGTCGACGACGTGTTGCTGCCACCATGGGCACGCAGCGATCCGCGCGAGTTTGTGCGCTTGCACCGCCAAGCTCTCGAGTCGCGCGTACAAGCCTCTGCAGCCGAGCGTTTTGGGATCACCTTTTGCTTTTGTAGTATGTGTCGGAGAACCTGCACCACTGGATCGACCTCATCTTTGGCTGCAAGCAGCGCGGCGATGCGGCCGTCGAGTCGCTGAACGTCTTTATGCACATGACGTACGAAGGCACAGTACGTACAACCTCCTACCAATGGTCTTTGGATGAGAGGCCGACACTTTGAATCGTATAGATTGACTTGGATGCGATCGACGACCCCATTTTACGCGAAGCAACGCTGGCGCAGATTGAAAATTTCGGCCAAACGCCGTCCAAGCTCTTCAACAGCCCGCACCCGCAGCGCAAGGTGCCAACGCTCCATTTGCAGTCGCATTCGAGCCTCATGACCCACGCGCACGACCTCTCGCTCAATGCACCGAGCAGGTGCGAAACGACGAAAGTCGCTAGCTCGTTCTCATTATCGCACCATGTAGCGTCGAGACCTACGTCAAGTGGCACACGCCGCTCGCTCCAGCGCTCGTGTCGATTGGGAAGGAGTACGTCCACCTCAAGAAAGCATCCGCCTCGCACGTGCTACAGAACGAAGCGATCGGCGATGTCAAGTTGTGCGCCGACAAGGTACTCTACGTCTCGCCGTGCTGGCACTCGTTAATGGAACGGGTTGCTAGTTGGTGTGCCGAGGTCTGGGCAGCGTGCTCGTGCCACCGCGCCTCAAAAAGTGCATTGACTATGGCAAGCACGGCCACTTGGTCTTACGGGCGCTGCCAAAAGCCAAGCCGCTGCTCGTCCTTGAAGACGTGCACCTTGGCGCGATCCGGTGCGCAGTCTTTGCCGACGATGGCTTGACGCTTGTGAGCGGCGGGGACGACGGCGTCGTCAACGTCATCGAGTGCGTCAAGCTCCATGGCCAGCGCCACTTTTCGCACAAGGGCAAGTTAGCGGGCCATGATGCGCCAGTTCTCTCTGTGGCGATCAACAAGGCGTTCAACCTCGTACTCTCTGGGTCGGCCGACCTCACGGCGATCGTATGGGACCTCCGCAGCCAGGCGTATCTGCGTGAGCTCTGCGGCCATATGACGCCGCTTCTGCACGTCGGTATCAACGGCGCCAACGGAAACCTCATGACGGCGTCGTCGACCGAGCTCCGTGTCTGGAGCCTCAATGGCGACCTCCTCGCCTGCGCCGTGCTGCCAGCACTCGGTCTCCACCCCATCGTACGCATCCTGCCGTTCCATACGAGGGCGCTTATATCGTATGCGATGGCTAGACGGCGGCCGTCTCGTCGCGCTGTGATGTATGGCAGAACGGCGTCGTCGTCGTGACGGGCCATGCGAACGGGACGCTGACGTGCTGGGGCCTCCAGTTCCCGTCCGATGTCGAGACGGACCAGCTGCAGACGAGCAAGAAGGAGGAGCCCGTCGCACCTGCGTCGGTACTGTCACCGCGCCAGAGAAAGCCGGTGGCCGTGGCTGGCGAAGACAAGATCGTGCCATCTTGCCGCCTCTACGTCATGAAGCTCCTGCTCGAGCACCGCGCGGCCGTGACGGCGATCGCGCTCACGGCGGACCAGCGCCAGGTCGTGACGGGTGACGCCGACGGCGTCTGCATCCGGTGGCACGACGATAGCCTCGGCGCGACGCCCTTCTCGTAGCATCTCGTACTACTAGCATCGATCGATCGACCATCTTGTCATCTTGATTTCCCATGTGGTATTGGTGGAAGCAGATCGTTGCTGCCCGTTGCCAGCAAGCGCGCTTTGATTGGCCAAAATACAAGCATGACGCCGTTTTGATTGGTCCGTGGGTCCAACCAGCGTCATTTTCGAATTTGCCCCCGACAGCCGAGATGGAAGAGAGACTGAGCTGCGTGGCGTGGGCGCTCCTCGAGGGGTACCCATGGTGGCCTGTGTACGTCTGCGACCCGAAGAAGTTGCGGCCCAAGCTCTTCAACCTCGGTAGATGATACTTCCATGGACGCTATCGACTCATGAACCTCATGGTGTAGGGTCGTCGCATCAGAGCATTGCCCGGCAGGCGCGCTGCTTCCCCAACGATTTTCGCATCGTCTACTTCTTTGGCTCCTACGAATTGTACGAAGGCGATGACGAATATGGGTATGATCGAGCTCATGGCATCGACTCTTGTAGCGGCAAGATGAAGACGAAGCTCGTCCGGCGCTGGGACGGCCCGGACAAGGAGAACTTTTTGCAGGGTCATCCCAAGGCGCTTTCGTCAAAGAAGGGCGTTTCCGAGCAGCTCAAGGCCGCGATTGAGGAAGCCGAGGTACAAACATCCGCAAACGATGCGCTAGGTACCATGGGACGATAGGAGTACTTGGCTACGGACGAGAGCACGCGCCTCCTTCCGCACATGGTGCCCTCGGACATGGACCCAAGCCTTGAGCCGCCGCCGACGCCGGAGCATGTGTCAGAAGCCGAAGACGACGAGGACGAGGACGAGGAAGGCGATGATGCTGTCGACGTACCCGAGGCCGACGACGACGACATTAGCGAAGATGACAAGATGCTCAAGCAACCCAAAAAATCCAAAAAAGTCCAACGCCGATGCCAAGGCGAAGAAGGAGACCAAGGCGAAGAAGGAGACCAAGTCGAAGAAGGAGACCAAGTCGAAGAAGGAGCCCAAGGAAAAGAAGGAGTCCAAGCCCAAAAAGGAAAGCAAGCCCAAGGAGGAAAGCAAGCCCAAAAAGGAAAGCAAGCCCAAAGAGGACACCAAGCCCAAAGAGGACACCAAGACAGACGCCGAGGTTGTCGAGACAAAGACCACGACCGAGGTCCAGCCCGAGGCCACGACCGCGTCGCCGCTGAAGCGTAAGGCGTCCAACAGCTCGGAGACCGAGGTCGCCCCGAAGAAGCCCAAGGTCGACGACAGCGGCTTGGAAGCCAAGATCGACGCGGGCATTCGCCATATTCTCATGTCCATGAGCCTCGACGAGCTCACGACGCGCAAGGTGCGCACGATGCTCGAAGAGCAGTTTGGCATGAGCCTCAAAGAGCACAAAATTCTGATTCGCGACGTGATCAACCAAATGATCGCCGAGGTCGACGATCGTGTTGACGCGCCCGATGCGACGATGGATGGGTCGCCCGCCGAGCCCGTGCAAAGTGCTGAACCCGTGCAAATTGTCGAGCCCGTGCAACGAACCGAGCCTGTGCCGGCCGTCGAGCCCGCCAAGGTCGTTGTTGCTCCGACCCCGGTACGGACGACGCCAGTCGTTACCGAGGCGCCCAAAGCGTCTACCAAGGCTTCTGGACTCTCCAAAGACGCTGTGAAGAAGCTCAAGGTCATCCTCGACGACGCAAGCACGTCGAATGAGATGATGTTGGAAACCCTTACGAAGCTGTCGGCGGTGCGTACTCTCTTTCTCCCTCCGAGCAGTGGCATAATACACGTCGTGTGTAGGACCTCTTGGAAGCAGACGTCTTGCGCGCGACGGGCATTCCCAAGACCGTCGCTCTTCTCCGCTCGCATTCGTACGATACCGTGCGATACTTGCAGCAACCTCACCACCTCCTGGCATGGACGTAGGAACGAAAAGGTTGCGAGCCTCGCCAAGTCGATCCGCGATCGATGGAAGAAGGCGTATTCGAGTGGAGAGAACAGCAGCGCGTCGACCAACCCGAGCGTGGCCAAGCTCGCCAAGATGGCCAAGACACTGGAGCGGTCGTCGAACAACGACGACATCCTCTCGCATCTCAAGACCCTCAGTACCATGACGTTGTCGCGAAACGAGCTCGTTGAGTCCAAGATTGGGTTTGCGCTCCGCAAGCTGCGGCAGTCCGAGTACGCCTCCCGCGCCCTGGAACATGGTCTTCTTACATCACGTGCATAGGCATGCGACGATCAAGAAGCTCGCCACGGATCTCCGAAACAAGTGGAAGAAGGAGCTGAGCGCCGAGTCATAGACGCGCTCTTAATGCAACAATCCAGGGTCGTGTTAAAAGCACTTTGCGTGTAGCACGGCCGCGCCGTTGACGTCAAACTCGTCGCATGTGATCCAGGACCGGTCTTTGAGCGAGCTCGCATACATGCACGTGCCAGCAAACGTCGCGCAGTCGTCTTTCCCGACCACATCGACCGCAATCAGCGACTCGAACGGACAGATTTTCTGGATCTCTTGGTGCACGCGCGCCTTGAAGCCCGGGAGTTGGCAGGCGCCGCCCGTGCACACGACGTTGGCCAAGAGTTCGTGGTGTAGCTGGCTGTCGCACTCGGCAAAAGCTTTTGCAAGCGCGTCGTGGAGTGCCATCTCGCCCGCATTGTCTATGCATCGCCGTCGTACATAATCATCCGCACGTCATCGAGAGCTGTCGCCTACCAGGGTTGAGCTTGGGTTGCCAGAGGAGCTCGGGTGCGATGAAGCGCTCGACATCACACTGCAGCTCGAGCGTCGACCCCGACGGTAGTCGGTACGCATACACTGCATGCAACCTACACCCATCGAGCCATATTCATCGCCTCGTTTCAGCAACTCTCTCGGTAGCGTTACGGGTGCGCCGCTGTGTTTTTGTGGGGCACGGCTTTTTGCCACACGGGTTGCGACTCGGTCGGCAGCACTTGGACATGCGCGCGTTCAAAGCGGCCGTGCTTCTCGGCCATCGCCTCAAAGTCCTTGGCGACCATGCCTTTGGTTTCCTATTCGGCAACATGTTGCGCTCGGATATCGAGTTGCCGCGATGACGACGACGTACGAGCATCGCGCGCGCGATCTTTTGCTGGAGCCGCAAAGGAATCTTGTGGTACTCGTCGCTCTCTTGGGAGAGCAGCATCGAGACCATAAAGTTCACGAGCGCGTCGCCTCCCATGGACGTCACGACAACCGCATGGTCCAGCTACCAAGCAGGATCGACATGAGACGATCCTACATCGGACGTACAATCATGTCTTCGTAGATGGGCACAATATACGTGGCGTCGGCGCCAACGTCGAGGACAAGGCCCGTGCTCTTCCCGCGGGCTCGCAAGCTCATAAGCGCATCGGTGGCCAAAAGAGCGCCTTTGACCGCGCACTTTTCAAAGAGCACGTCGGCAAGCGACTCGCGCGACGCCTTGGCGAGCTGCGGCTTGTGCGTCACAATGACCTAAACCGACACCGAAATCAAATCATCCACGATGCACAAGGTGTCAGGTACGTTGTAGGACGAGATGACGTCATCAATGCCGAGGCCGGTAAAGACTTGGTGGAGAAGACCTTCGAGGTACTCGGTCGACGTGACGTGGCCGTTCTGGAAGACGCGTTCTTGCTTGAGAATGCAACGCAGCGCCGGATCCGGGTGCTCGTACAAAAACGTCACTGCGTCTCGCCCAAGAAAGTACCCATTCTAGCGTCATATTCCGAGATACCGAGAAGGATGCACCACCGACCTCGTAGCCAATGCGAACCGAGCCCGCCCCAATGTACGACGACCCTTGCAGAACACGGTGAAGCTCGGCGGCACCTCCTTGCGGCACGGCCACCAGCGTCTATCGCGTCCGGTATGTTGAAACTCAAAGACGTGATGCGACGTACCGGGAGCTTCAACGTTGGCACATACGAGGCTGTATCGGCATGGAGCAAGCCCGCGTGGAGCTCGAAGGACCCAAAATGCACCACCACGACACCTTTCCCGATGATGGGTCGTGGTACCGCAGGCACGACGACCGCACTCGGCTGCGTCTTCGTCGAGAGCTGGGCCTCAAGTGCGGCGATGGTCTTCTTGGCGGCTAGCAATTCCGCCCCGAGCTGCTCGTGCGATGCTTCAAGCGTCGTTAACTGCCGCGTCTTGGCAGCCTCGAGGGCCTTGAGCTCTCGCTGGGACTCTTGCAGCACTTGGAGCTGCAAATCGTGCGCCGCCGTGGTTTCGTCCTGCTGACGGCGCATGGCATCGACGATCTTTTCGGGTGCATTTGCCTCCAAACGCGTTTCAAGTTCGCGAATGGTGGCCTCGAGTGCCTCCGTGCGTGCGACGTGCGCCGACTCGACCTCAGTTTCGGCGTCATGCGCGCGCGCTTCCAGCTCGTCCACTTGGTATCGGGCTTCGTCCAGCGCGTCTTTTGTCTCTTGGTGCGCGGCTAGCAGCTCGGCCTCATTTGCATCCCGGGCTGCGAGTTGTGTTTGGAGTGCTTCGATCTGTACCGTGAACGACTCGACCACGGCAGCGTGCGACGCGGCGTCGGCCTCGTAGTTGCTGTGCGTCGCTTGCAATGCGTGGGCCGCCTCGACGTGGCCTTGCAGTTGTGCTTGCAGTGCTGCCATCGATGCCTTGAGGTCTGCGACCTCGGCTTCGTGCGCCAGCGCATTCTGGCGTATGTCGGATGTGAGCACATCAATCTGCGACAGGTGGCGCGTCGCCTCGGCCTCTGCGGCTGCACAAGACGCGTCCAGCGACTGCGTCCGGGCTTGTTCTGTTTCGTAGTCGACTTGTAACGCACGCTTCTGCGCCTCGATCTCAGCGATCTGGGCCACGTACGACTCGGTGACGGCTGCGTGGGTCGCAGCCTGCTTTGCCAGCTCGTCTCGCGCAGTGTTTGTCGCTGCGATGGCCGCTTCGAGCTCCTCAATGCGCCGGGTAAGCGCTGCATTGGCCGCATCGCGTTCTTCAAGCTCTGCGAGCCAGTCGGCCTCCTGCGAGCCATGGTCGCTCGAGAGACTTTGGAGCGACGCCGCCTTCTCGACAAGCTCGGTCTGTAGCGCAATGAGGTCGCTTTCGGCCTGCTTGCGCGCAGCCACGGCGTGCTCGGCCGTCGAGACCGCCACCGCAAGCTCGTCCGTGAGTTCGCGCACCTGGACTTCGTACGCGGCCTCAACTGCTTCGTTGCGCCGGTCTGCGTCCTTGGTGGTTGCCTCCAAACGCGCCGTCCACTCGGCGTCGGCGTCGCGCTGCAAACGCGTTGCGTCGGACTCCAGCGCCCGGATGCGCTCGTCGCGCTGCGCAATGGTGGCCGTGAGCTGCGCATGCAGCCTCGCCCCGTGGTCCTTCTCGACTTGGATCTCATCGAGCTGACTCTGGAGCAACGCAACGCGCGCGTCCGTGGTTGCCGTGTCGCGACTCAATTCCGCCTTTTCGTCTCGCACGCGCGTCAGCATGGCCTCGATATCCCGGAGCTGCTCGACGTACGATTCGATCTCGCCATGGAGCCGCGCGATTTCCATGTCGTGCGTCAGACACGAGTGCGTCGCCACGTCGCGGTCTTCGAGCGCGTGCACCGCGTGTTCGAGCTGTTGCCGGAGCTGGCGCACGGTCGCGTCGTCGGCCGGCATGGCTGGCATCGCTTGCACCAGCGCCGCGTGTTCGATGATCTGTGCTTCGAGACGGGCAATCTTTTCGTGCTCGTGGGCTAATTTCGCATCGTACTCGGCGACGAGCGCCGCGCGGTCACTTGCCGCGGCGGCCATTTGCCGCTGGACGTCCTCCGAGACCTCGGCGCGCAGCTGAAGCGTCGCCAGCGTCTCTTCCATCTCGGCCATGCGACTGGTTTTGTGGCTCCACTCGGCCTGCGCCGCTTCAAACGCGTTCACTTGGAGCTGGAGGGCGCCGCAGATACGGTTGAGATGCTCCAGATCCTTATCGCGGCCTCGTTTCTCCAGCTCGAGCGTTGCGACATGCGCGGTGAGGTCGACGACGCGCTGCTCCGTCGCCGCCATGGACTCGTGCTTGGCCTCGGTGGAGGCAACCACCTGCTTCTTGATCTCGGTCAAGGCCATCTTGTGCTCGAGGAGCTCGGTCTCGAGGCTTCGCGCTGCCGCTGGAAGGTGAGCGCGGCGTCGGCGTGCGCCTCGCATTTCTGCTTGGCCGTTGCGAGTGCCGCCGACATCTTGTCCATATTGGTCTGGAGCACGTCTCGGTCCATGAGTGCGTCGTGGCGCTCGGCCTCGAGGCGCGCGAGGTCCTCGGCGGTCGCGGCGGCCGCGTCTTGGAGCGACGCGATCGTCCGCATCGCGACAGCGAGGTCCAGCGCCTCGTCGACCGACATGGGGTCGTGCAGATGATCGGGCGAAGCGGCTGGCGCAGCACGCGGAACGACCAACGTGCGATGGAATGCGTCATGCTCGTCGACGGGTGGCGGCGGCGTCTTGCACTCGGGGTTATTGTTGCCGACGGGATCGATCAACACGTCGGGCTCCTTGGTCGGCGGCGCGCGAAGCATTGGGTCTCGTGAGGTCTCTGCAGCGCGCGGTGTGCGCTTGACGACCGTCGTCGTCGTCGTCGCAAGCTTGAATGCGGTCGGTATCTTGGGCGCTTGGCGTGGCGTCGGCTACCATCGGTTGAAGACATAAAAGAAGAGCATGTACGTACGGCTTTTTTGGGCGGCGAGACAGAGCTTGGCTCGGCCGGGTGCAGCAGCGTCCCTTCCTTGTACCCACGACTCACGGTCTGCCGCATGTAGCTCGGGACGTTGGCCATCGTAGTTGGCGGCGACCGCATCTTGCGCTCGTCGGCGATCGTCGACGACGCTCGCTTGAGCGGTTTCTTGGGCGATGGCACCGCGCGCTTGGTCACCTTTTGCGAGGCCAAGGCGCTCGCGACCTGGGTCGGCGTCGATGGTATCGCGATCGAGAGTGGCGCCGGCGGCGGGCGCACGCGGAACTCCTCCTTCTTGGCGCCGGCGCGCCGGACGGGGAAGTCGACCGTCTTCTTCTTCTCGGCCTTGGGGTCCTTCTTGACCTTGCTGCTGCTGCTGCTCGTCGAGCGCAGGTACGAAGGGATACCCGACGATGCCATGGCCAAGATCGACGGTGGTTGCGTTCACTGCGGTTATGGATCTCGGTATCCTCCGGATACACGTATCCGGACGACCACCTGCCGCTCGCGTTCTGGCGCCAAAACTCGAGTTGAAGCCAGCTCCCACCACCAGAGTACTGTATTACCAAGTAGGTACCGGTACCTTCTGCCTCGTGTATACCGATCGACTAGTCTATCGACTAAAACTAACGTCGTCGACCGACGCGTTCAAGGACCGCCTTGGCAAGTGAGGTAGCCTCGTCGGCACGCTAGCAATTCGCTCGCCAACGACGACCGGCAGGTATCTTCAAGGTGACATGCACCTGTCTATATGGTCGCATGTCCTTGCATGGAAGCGACAACGAAGAAGCTTTGGCGATGGGCTGCGACGGGATTCTCGCCGTCGCTTCGCAGGTCAAGAACCGCTCATGCAGATTAACGGACGCAAGATCCAATTCGTTGGTTGTCGCATAGTACACGTCGCCGAGAGAGATGGTGTTGGTAGTTAGTACATCTATCGACTGACTTGGGACTTGGGTTCGGATGGTGGTGGTGGAGGTGGCAGTTAAAGCCATGGACGGGCGCCAGTTCCTCGACTGTCTCGCACTGAATAGTACCTCGCGGTGAAACCTCTGAGAATGCATATTTGCGTCGCCGCGCTGGGGAAAGATATTCGAACGGTTGGGTATGTGTTGTGAGAGGGATTGGAGGCGCCGGGTTTGAAAATTCCATTTCCGCGGTACGATCGGTGGCGACGACGGAGCAGCAGCATGGAGGCCTCGGACCCGCGCGGAGACCTGCTCCTCATCCGCGAAGGAGAGATGGAGCGCGAGCGGCTCCAGAAGGAAGCGTTCAACATGAAGCTCCGAATCAACTTTCTCGAGGAGCAGCTCCTCAAGTACAAGGAAGGTAAGGCTGCCTGTCGTAGGATGCCATGGCGCATGACGATGCTGCGTGTAGGTACGGCCTTTGAAGATGAAGATTTCGAGTCCGAGAACATGCACCTCCGAACGGTCATTGAGGAGAAGGTGCAGGAGCTCGAGCGAAGGAACTTCCTCCTCGTGCGGGCGCGCGACGCGATCGAAGTGCTGCGCGTCGACTTGGAGACGGCCAAGGAGAACAATCGACTCAGCGCGTCGGCAAACCACAGCCAGCTCGAAGAGTCGACGCAAGAGGCGCTGCGACTCGAACAGGACGTGGCGCGCCTCGAGGACGAGCTACAAGCGGCCTACGCGGACCTCGACGCGCTACGGCAAACGAACGAAGACCTCATGCGACGTTTCAACGATCTCGAGCTCGAACACACGGAGAAGCTCCGCATCGTGCAGCGCCTCGAGTCGGAGAAGGAGCGCACGAGCGAGTCGGCGACGTGGGAAGTTCAACGTGCCAAGAACGAACTCAAGCTTGCCCACGAGGCCCAGCTCAACAGCGAGAAGGAGCAATGGCACAAAGAGCGTAAGCAAATTGTACAGAACTGGGAGCAGAAGGTGCGGGAGAAGGAGGCAGACCTGGATCGAGCCAAGGCAACCATCGGTGACCGCGACGACACCATCAAGACCCTTCAGCAAGGCAAGATGGAGCTCGAGCTGGCCCTCGAGAGGACGACCAAGCAGCGTGAGGCAGACAAGGCCGATATTCTCGAGCTGCAGCAGCGCTTGCAACGCGCGACGTCCGAGAGCGACGACAGCTACGCGCTCCGGCGGCAGTGCGACCAGTTTGAAGCCGACGTCGCGAGCCTTAAGAAGCAGCTCGACGACCAAACTCGCCGCGCCAAGGACGACGAGATGCGTCTCAACGACGAAATTGAGCGCCTCCGTGGGCAGAAGCAGCAGATGCTCGACGAAATGAGCGTCCAGACGGACAAGGTGCGCTGGGAAACGCTCAAGAAGCTCGAAGTCGTCGAAGCGACGAACGTGACGCTGACCAGCGATGTGCAGCGTGCGACCGCCGAGATCCAGAAGCTGCAAGAAGCCCTCTTCAAGGCCCACGCGAGTGCCACCGAGTGGGAGGCTCGCGCCTCGTCGACGGCGTCCGAGTGGCAGGCCAAGGTCCAAGGCCTCCAGCAAGTCCAGTCTGAAGGTGCGGTCCTCGAGCGCGAGCAAGCCAAAATGCAAGAGCGTCTCTCGCTGGTAAACTTACGCTGTCGTCGATTTTGTTTGAAACGCGAGAGTAGGTCCAAGCCGAACTCACCGCCGCAAAAGATGCCGATCGGCAGCTCCGCGGCTCGTTCCAACTGGCACTTGCCGACATTGCCAAAACGAAGTGCTTCTGAAAGAGCGCGAGAAGAGTCTGGAGGCTGCGATCCAAGAAAAGCGGGCACTCGAGGCCTCCCTGAGCCAGGAAAGTGCCAAGAACAAGCAGCAGCGACAACTTCTCAAAGCTCGCATCCAAGCGCTCGAGGCCGAGCGCAGCCAGATCCACCTTCAGTCCAAGGACGAGGCGCAGTCGCTTGCCGTGCAGCTCGGCCACATGCATGGGCTCAAAGAGTATGCATTTCCTGGTGTAATGCACGTGTCTGATTATCTGCTGTCATAGGCACTTTACGACAAAGAGCTACGAGATGGAAGCGGCGTGGCAGCTCAAGTCGGGGCAGTACCAAGCGCGCATCGACATGCTCCAAGACCGCCTTGGCGCAGCCACCGAGAAGCTTGCCCAGCTCCAAGCCGTACGTGCATGCATAGTAGGATATTGTCATCAAGCTCGTGTCGTAGATGCGTGAGGGGTCGCAGCAACAGCGCTTTGACCAGCTCAAGTACGAGGCAATGCAAGCCAAGATGCAGTGGGAGCAAGAGCTGCTCCAGGCGCGCAAGGCGATCCGTGACGAGTCGGACCGCGCGGCTAAGTATGAGCGCGACGCCCGTGACGCACAGACCCAACTTCAGCGCGTCGAGCTTGAGTTTCAGCAAAAGTTTGCGCGCCTCGAGATCGAGTACCAGCGAGTCTTACGTGACGTGGCCTCGCTGCAAGTACGCGCTCTTCTGTCGTGTTGATGTGGATGACATGGTGTGTCTGTGTCTAGAATGTGCAGAGCAAGACACAGCCCGAGTTGCACCGAAAAGACGAACACATTAGGCTGCTAAAGGAAGAAGCTGACCAATCGAAGCGCGTCCAAGCCGACCTCACGACGCAGCTGCGCAGCGCGATCCAGGAACACGCACAGTACCGGAGTCGTATGGACGAGCTGCAAAAGACCATTGGTCGGCTGCAAGAGAAGGAGCGCACGACCGAGCAGCTCGTGTGGCAGCAGTGCCAGCGCAACGAAGCGCTCTTGGAGAAGGCTCTGCCCACCAACCCGACGATTGAGCCGCTCGAGAACCTCGTGCGCAAGACGCGGGAGCTCGTCGAGCACACGCGGCGCTTCCAGGAAAAGTACGCGACCGCGTGGCCGAATGTCCTCTCGGGGGCGCAAGCTATGTCGGGCCCGATGGAGCACGACTGCGGCCGGCTCCTCCGCGCCAACAACATGCTCTGTCACAAACTCGCTCAAGTACGTCGATCTTGATATGCAGTATCCGACGAGTATTCACGCTCTGTGTTGCGTAGGCGGTGGCCGAGTGGAAGCGCGGCCAGAGCCAGCAGCCACTAAACGACGCGACGCCGGCATTGGCCCCCGCTGCGACGGCATCGCCGTTGACACCGCCTCCGAGCAGCGCCAGCAGGCAGCGGGCGTCCTTGAGCCAAGCCGAGCTCGAAGCGCTCGTCCACACGCTGCACGAGTCCAAGGCCAAGCACGGCGTGACGCCGCTCTCGGTCGTCCCCGGCACAGCGCGCATCCTCGACGCGTACCAGTCGTCCAACTCGGTGCTCGCGCGGCTCAATAAGGAGCTGCTCAAGGTGCACAACACCATCGAGGGCTACGCGCGACCACCCCCTGCGCCGCTGCGATAGACGCCTGCCTCTTAATATAAGCGCCGATCGCACCCTCCTCTGCACACACCATTCCTTGGCCGATGGTCTTTGCATCTGGACACGCCAGGAGGAAGGGTAGAGTACATGGGTAGAGTACGCGATGCTGGAAGAGCTGCTGGAAGTGCATTATTGATGGACACCAGGAATGGCGTGTTTTTAGCCTCGAAAGCCGGTTAGCGTTCGGTTGTGGTCGTCGGACGTCGGGCGCATGAAGCTGCCGGTGCTCTTTGCCTGCGTCTGCGGCGCCGTCGTCGCATATACGCTCAAGCGGCAGCACATCCGCAAGCTCAACTGGAAGCGGCGCATCGCGCTCAAGAAGATTTCGCCCAAGTACGTCGCCGCATCCTCCTGCGTAGTACTCATGCCACGTAGCTCGGACATGGGGCAGTCGTTTGGCCTCGACATTGGTACGCTGCTTGGACACGCGCAGGATGACAGCACTGGTGTACAGGTGGCACGCTCTCCAAGATTGTGTACTTTGAGCAGGCGCCGGGCCAAAACAGTCGGCCGCGGGCCAACTCGCACGTGCTCGCAGCGCAGGAGGTCTCTCGCTTCGTCAAGTCGAGCGACAGCTACGGCAGCTCGGGCGTCCGGGACACGCGCTTGAGCATCACGTCCGAGACGCTCGGCGGCACGCTGCATTTCATGCACTTTGAGACGCGCAAGATGGAGGGCGCGGTCATGCAAGTCGCCAACCACAGCTTGGGCCAGTCGCTCCGCGTCGTCTCGTGCACGGGCGGTGGCGCCCACAAGGTAGTCGTACCGTCGTATTCCTCATGGAGCTCAGGGTCCATCCATGCAGTACGCCGAGATGATCCACATGCTTGCAGGCATTGAAGTGCGCAAGAAGGACGAGATTGCCTGCCTCGTGCGCGGCCTCAACTTTCTGCTCAACGTCTTTCCCAACGAAGTGTTCACGTTTGTGGTATTCTATCAATGTATCAAGATGCGATGAGAAAGCGCCCGCTAGAACGTCGACTTCAGCTCGCTCTCGGCGACGCGCGTGAGCCTCGTGCGTGACAACAAGGACGAAGACATTTTTCCCTACATCGTACGTCAACCTGTCTTTCGGTGGTCACCAAGGTGCTTGTAGCTTGTCAGCATTGGGTCGGGCGTGAGTGTGCTGCACGTGACGGGCCCCAACACGTTTACCCGTGTCAGCGGTAGCTCGATTGGCGGCGGTATGTTGTGGAATATTGTCTGTCTCGAGACATGGGTGGGATGCTATAGGGACGTACTGGGGCCTCTGCCGCATGCTCTTTGAGTGCAATACGTACGACGAGGCGCTTGACTTGGCCGTGCACGGGCGCAACGCGTCGGTCGACATGAGCGTCGGCGACATTTACGGCGGCGCGTACGAGAAATTCAACCTCCCGGCCACGACGGTCGCGAGCAGCTTTGGTAGGCTGTTTGAACGTGGATTTAAACGTTGGCTATCTATCTGGATAGGCAAGATGATCTCGGTCGATCGGAGCAGTGTCTCGGACGCCGACATTGCGCGGTCGCTCCTCGTGATGACGACGCAGAACATTGGGCTCATCGCGTACCTCAACGCGTGCATCCATGGCACGAAGCGCATCTTTTTGTGGGAAATTTCCTCCGGCACAACAAGATCTCGTGCCGGACGCTCGCGTACGCCATCGACTTTTGGTCCAAAGGCGAGATGAAGGCGCACTTTTGTCGCCACGAAGGGTACCTCGGCGCGCTCGGCGCCTTCTTGAGCCAAGCCCACGACATGCCGTGCAACCCAGTGTAAGGTACCATAGTCGAGGTAGTTAGAGTGCTCAACAATAGTAGTACAATGTACTTGGAGGGACCAACACTTGATGTATTATCGATACTACGATACAGAGACAACGACCGCGCAGCTTAGTTGCGGCGAAGGTGGAGCGAGGCGCCGGGACCGTACGGAGGAGGCGTCGTCGGGTCCGAGCACGGCGTCGGGTTAGGACCCGGTTTCGGGCCTGGCTGCGGGCCGGGTTGAGGACCAGGCTGAGGACCAGGCTGCGGGCTGGGTTGAGGACCAGGCTGCGGGCCGGGTTGAGGACCAGGCTGAGGACCAGGTTGAGGACCAGGCTGCGGGCCGGGTTGAGGACCAGGCTGAGGACCAGGCTGCGGGCCGGGCTGCGGACCAGGCTGAGGTCCAGGTTGAGGACCAGGCTGCGGGCCGGGTTGAGGACCAGGCTGCGGGCCGGGTTGAGGACCAGGCTGCGGGCCGGGTTGAGGACCAGGCTGCGGGCCGGGCTGCGGACCAGGCTGAGGACCAGGTTGAGGACCAGGCTGCGGGCCGGGTTGAGGACCAGGCTGAGACCAGGCTGCGGGCCGGGCTGCGGACCAGGCTGA